CAAGCCCTTTAAATCACCCCAGACCTACCAGCTGCAGAGGCGGCTGGGAGCCCCGGGGCTTGGGGGCAATTTAAGGGGCCCGGGGCTCCTACTGCAGCAGAGCCCTTTAAATCGCCGCCCGATCCCCGCTGCCGGAGCCCCTGGGGTAGCGGCAGCAGCCCGGGGCTCCGGCGGTGATGTAAAGGGCCCGGGGCTCCCAGCCGCCACCACTGCAGCGGAGCCCTGGGCCCTTTAAATTGCTGCCCGAGCCCCGGGACTCCTGGCCACCTCCGCTACCTGGGGGCTCCGGCAGTGGGGCTCTGGCGGCAATTGAAAGGGCCTGGGGCTCTGGCTGCTGCCGGGAGCCCCAGGCCCTTTAAATCGCCGGCCTGGGGAAGCCGGTCCGGTCTGGCGCACCGGCTCTTGCTGGTACACTGTACCGGCCCGTACTGGCTTACTTTCACCTCTGGCAGGACTGACCCTTGTCCACCCGTCCCGTAATTCACTGTCCACTCCTCATTTTTCACTGGGCTCTGTCCTCTCCTGGAGAACACTTAAAATCCCAAACTAATTTGGGGTCGTTGTCCACTGATAGCTCCTCAGTGGCCTACGTGACCTGCCTCTGCCGGCCCCCTTCCGATTCCTGTGGGACCGGTGCCCACGTGACGCAAGCTGCTGCCGCCGTTGGCACAAACCGGCCCCCTCGGTGGCGCTCTTGCAAGAGAGGTCGGGGATTGAACAGGCGTGGGGATTGCACTGCCTGCCCTGCCCCTAGGGGGTAGCCCGCCTGCCAGGTCAGGGTAGAGAGCAAAGGGCTTAGTAGGGGAAACTGCTGTCCATGCTGTACCTGCTCTGTGGATAAATGCAGCTTGGGGCTTGTCCCAGAGGTGCCGGGGAACTGCCTGTGGAGAGTTGAGTGACACCCCCGGTGCTGACCTGAAGCCAAACTGCCAGTTGAATGCTCTAGGGGGCCCCTCCTCGCCCCAGCTGTCTCTAAATAATTGGAGGGGATCAGACTCCTCCTCCTCACCGGCTCCATCCCTACAGTGGGGTGGCCCAAACCCTCAAACTTGCCTGGCTTCTCCCAGTCCCCCCCGGTGGTGCAGTTCCCCTCCCCTGCCCTTTCTTTTAGGCCTTTGCCGGGGGCAGTGCGACACCGGAGTGAGAGAGTGTTTCTCTCCGCGTGCTGGCTGCAGAGACAGAAATCCTTCTCCTCCCCCACCCACCTCTGGCTCTACTGCTTTTGCCAGCTAAATCCGTGCCTCTCTTCGCTCCCTAAACCTGCCTCCCAGCCAAAGCTATTTGAACGGTTTCCCAGTAGAGCCAGGCATTCGGCTGGAGGTTGGGACTGCATGGCCAAGAGCCACATGCTCCATGCACCCACAGAACCGCTTTGTATGCACACACATGACGATGGCACAGAGAGGTTCAGACCTCAGCAGAAAGACAACCGGCTGTTTGGCATCTGACAGCGGAGCAGGGGAAGAACCACAACTGTAGCAGGCTTGCTTCTTTGCTGCAATCCTTGATTATTATTTTTGTGATGGGGCTGGTTAATCTTTGACATGTCATGTGGCAGCTTTAAGGGGGAAAAGACAGGCAGTGGAAGACAATAGCCAATCAGCTGGAGACTGGTCGAGTACCTGGCCTAATGGCTTGAGTGCAGAAATGAGAGCCAGAAGCTCCTGGGAACCCACACAGTCTGTCTCCTGTGTGCATGCTGTTCCCCGTGCATGCGTATGCGTGGGTGCGTGCAACTGACTGGATGGTTGGGCCCGGAGTTCTGTTCCAGACTCTTCCACTGCTTGCTACGAGACCATGGGCAACTCACTTTGTCTCTTAGGCCATGTCTACACTATGATCGCTACCGTGGCCACAGCTGCAGCACTGTAGTGCCGTAGTATAGATGCTTCCTACAGTGACATAAGGGTTTTTCCCGTCACTGTAGTTCATCCGCCTCCCAGAGCAGTGGTAGCTAGATCGACGGACGCATTCTTCCCTTGACCCAGCCATGTCTACACCATGGGTTAGGTCAGTATAGCCGCAGCCCCCGGGAGTGAATTTTTCCCACCCCTGAGTGACACAACTCTCAATTTTAAGTGTAGACCAGGACTTTGTGTTTTCCCTGTCGCAAAATGGGGTTAGCAGTAACAGAAGGGCAGTATGGGTTAATTAGTCAATGTGCATAAAAGGCATTGAGAGCCTTGAATGAAAGCGTCTGTATCAAAGCAAAGTATGATTATTATTATTATTCAGTATGAATATATGAGCTACCACAGAGCCTGTCTGTATCCCAGAAGCAGTAGGCAGTAACTGACCATACACTGTGTTCTCTGTAAGCCAGATTCTTAAATCTTCACCAAGGGGAAACTCCCACGGAGCTTCGCCTGCATGCAGACTCCCTTCTGCTGGCTCTACATTTCCCACCACTGCATGACAGCGATGTCTGGAGGCGAGGAGCACAGGAGAGGCAGGGGCATATAAAGGGGTGTAAAGGACTAGAGAGAAAGTGAAGGGGACTTGATCACAGTCTGGAATAGAAGTTTCATAAGAGGGGGTTTTTCAATCTAGCAGACAAAGGTCTAACAAGAGCCAATGGCTGGAAGGTGACACTAGACAAATGCAGACTGGAAAAAAGCCCTGGCTTGACAAAAAAAAGCTCTGGTTTGATTTAGTTGGGTTTGGTCCTGCTTTGAGCAGGGGGTTGGACTAGATACCTCCTGAGCAGGGCTGGCTCCAGGCACCAGCCGAGCAAGCTGGTGCTTGGGGCGGCAGCTTGTAGGAGGCGGCATTCCGCCCAATCCTAGGGCGGCACGGCCGCTTTTGTTGTTGTTGTTGTTCCGCTCCGGCCGCCCTGTAGGGGGCGTCGTCGTGGAGGACGGGAGCGCCCTGCAGCAAGCCTGGCAGGGCAGTCTGCGTCCTTCCCTCCCAGCAGGGGGCATGGCGGGAGGGGCCACGTGGCAGTGCCCCACGGAAGCCCTGGCTGACCCCCTTCTCTCTCTCCCCCTGCTCCCTCCCACTGCCCCTGCTAGCCGGGGCACATCTGCAGGGCAGGGAGGCCCCCTGGCTCCGGCCGCGCTGCAGGTTTTTGGGGTTTTTTTTGTTTTTTTGCTTGGGGAGGCCAGAAAGCCAGAGCTGGCCCTGCTCCTGAGGTCCCTTCCAACCCTGATATTCTATGAGTCTATGAAAGGTGCGAGTTTGTAACTGTGAGGGTAGTTCTCCATTGGAACCCTTCCCCAAGGGAGGTGGTGGGTTCTCTATCACTGGACATTTTAGAATCAAGATTGGATTCTTTTCTAAAAGATCTGCTGTAGCTGAAACCAGTGAATTAATTCAGGGAAGCTTTATGGCCTGTGTTACACAGGGGGTCATGCTACATGATCCCAGACGTTACTTTTGCCCTGATAATCTAGGAATCCATGTTTCAGTCAGGTTTCTAACAGACTTCCTGCCGCTTGCTGTGATGATTCACCATTCCTGATTCCCTATTTTTAATTTAAGCACCTGCTTAAAATCGTGCTGTTGCTTTTAACAGCTACTCTTGGATTTAATACAAGATGTGCGAAGAGCCCAGCAGGGCTGCGTATTATTTGCAGACTCGTAGCAAGCGGAGATGGAAAAGACCTATTACACCATCTAGTCTGTCCCTCTGCCATTACAAGCTTGTTCCCTTCACCACTGTATGCTCCCCTGTGTTTTGTGCTGTCCATTTAAAAATATCTTTGTGTTGGAGCTTCTGCTGCTTTTCTCAGGGCAAGGGCTCTCATCCTGGGGGTCTTGGACAGGTGTCAGGACCACACCGCCCTTCTCATAGGGCTAAGTGGGGAAGGGGCTCCAGGTTGGATTGTAGAATGGAAAAGGGTAGGAACTCTGGTTTAGGATCTTGTTGTCCAGTCTAACAGACTGGATATAGCCCCTTGTGGCATCCCAAAAGATTCTTCTGGCTTGGTGTTTACAACCTTCGAATGTGTGTGGAGGGTCCTCTCTTCTCCTCTAAGCTACCACAGATCTGAGCTATTTCTATGCACGGTGACTAATCTTTTGCCATCAGTTGCTCCAAACCCTTAAACGCTTTTATTTCTCTTCCCCTGAATTCCTTCCAGTTCATTGACATGTTGATGGTATTGAGATGCCCAGAACTCAATGCGGGGTTGCAGGGCCCCTGCTCCTCCCTGAAGCCTAAGGCAAGGCCTGGTCTCTCTTTGAGACGTGATACATCTGCTCATGAAAGCCCATAGATAGGTGCTGGAGAATTAAGCAGAGGTGATAATTGCTCAGAGACGTGTCGCTCCTAGGACAGCAGTGCTGGATTTAGTTGTCCTATCTTTCACATGGCTGTTTAATCTGATCAGGCAATACATTGATATTTAGGGGCCCCTAATTCTCCCTGGCCTCAGAAAGCCATCTTTCCTAACCCTGAACCCACAAGGATGGGTTGTCCACTGGAATCCTGACTGAGAACTCGGTTGCCAGCGGTATCAATGACTACTGGAGAAGAAAATGGGATGGCTGGTGGTTTGCCAAGAGCTGATCACGTGTTCAGAACGTCATGCGACACAAGGGTAGTTCTTGCCCCAGCAGGCTGACAGTCAGACACAGAGTGGATAAGGCACACTGGGAGCAGATGTTCTGAACTAGCTCACGTCACCTCGCCTGTAACATTGCGTACGGAGTGGGTCAGTGTTTGTGGGTTTTGTGATGAACTGAGCGGTTCTCCCTTGGGTAACTGAGAGCCTCAGCGGCACTGTCGTGTGCAGGACAGGGCGGTGACGTGGTTCTGCATGCTGTCCAGGTGGTATTTTAATGATGGACAGTCATTGTTTTCCTGTGGTCGATTTTGATTTTTCAGAACAGTTCCATGGGGCTCGCTGCCTTGATGTGGGACCCAGTGCGTGAGCCCCTTCTGGGGCAGAGCAGCTCCACTGTATTGCAAATGGACTTGGCTCTTCTCTTATTAATGATCCCATGAAGCGGCATTGCTACAAATAACCTACCTGGCTTCCTTCCCTTTGCCTGTGCAGGAGGGAGACTCGTTTGGAGCCATGGAGAAGGTCTGCAGGCAGCTGACCTACCACCTCAGCCCTCACTCGCAGTGGAGACGTCAAGGGATCATGAAGAGGAAGCCACAGTCCTGGTGAGTCAGCTTCTGAAAGCCGTGCGGGTTGTTTGTTTGCCATTTCCTCCCACCCCCCCCCGCCGGGTGCTTCCAGACGCGTTGGTGTCACTTTAAGGTCGGAATGGAAGGAAATCGCTTCTGCCGCGGTGATTGGCGTTGGTGAGATGGTAGCTGGAAGTAAGCAGGGAGCAGAGATCGTTTCCCCAGAATCAAACGTATTCATCGTCTCAGCTGCTCCCGGCAACACTAATCTGTCTGTGCCACAGTATGTGTGCGTTGACTCACCCCGTCCCTTTAGGCACAGGTGTTAGGCCTCCTATGCTCCTGGGTAGCTTTAACTTCTGTGGATTGGACTAGATGACCTCCTGAGGTCCCTTCCAACCCTGATATTCTATGAAATGCGATGCTTTAATACGGACGGTCAGTGGGCTCTGCAGGACGCTGCCCAATTATCGCCCTTGCAAATGACGACAATTCGCTTTGGTTATGGACTAGGGGCTTGATTCTGCACGGCACAGATGTGGAGTGTTGCACTTGTAAACACGGGGTAAAAAGGGAGGAACAGGTGAGCTCATGGGAACCCGACCCTGCGCTGAGGAGTGTGCTGGCCACTAGCTTGCTCTTGCCTAGTAATAGGAGTGAGACCTATGTGGGGAGCGTAGAAATAAGGGCCTTATTAGCATGATGAGGATTATGCTTACCCCAGATCTCCTCCAGCATATCTAGTCACAGACCTGGTTCACATTATGCAGGGACTTGGGGGGATGCAGCCTTAATTGCTATGATGCTGATGTGTGAATTCATCTTTGCAACGCTAGACAGACCTCCTGGGGCTTAAATCTGCCAGGCCAGTTGGTGTAACGTATCTGAATTAATCGACTGCACTGGGGATCTGGCAAGAAGGGCTTTAGGATGGGATTTTCAAAAGCAACAAAGGGACTTAAGTACCCAACTCGTAGTGAAAGTCCAATGGGAACTGGGTGCTTAATTCTCGATGAATCTCACTCTTATTAAATCAGTGTTTGCATATGAGGGTGAAACCCTCTCCCTTTCTAAATCTCTAGCCCTTCCCCCTTGTCCGTTTTGTACTCTTTGTCAGGGAAAGCTGCATGAAACTTCCACAGATGGATAAATCCTTAGCTGACAACTGTTGTATTCCCCATCAGAGTCTATGGTGTAATGGGATGATCAGAGACAACACCAATTTGTCCAGGCTAGACTTTCTGCTCTGGCAGTTAACGTACAAGCGCAGCGGCTGTGTTGTTGTGAGACATCCTGGCTTTGTGATGATCTGCATAAAGGGAATTGTGGGATTAAAAACAGCCCAGGGGAAGGGGAGGAAAACATCTAATTAAAATGAACCATCTTAAACCCTCCCCCCAAGCTCCTCAAAAAACCCAGCATCCCTGCTCTGGGCGTGTCCCAGAACTCTGCAGCCTAGAAGCACGTGGCTAAGGCAGCATTGACAGAAATCCAGTCTGCCCGGCATGGCTGATGCGGCGTCTCCGGTAAGGTCAGTGTCAAGTGCGTGCTGTCTCCAGGCCGTCGGTGGCTTGTTTCTTTCTTTTCCAAGGGCGCACGTTCAGGTATTGCCATCTCCTGACACAATTAAAAGCCCTACCAGTCAGCTCAGCACTAAGGTCTGCTTCAGCGGCTCTTCCACTGGAGCCACCCCGTGGCAGCTCTACCTTGAGTGTGCAGGTAGGCGGGGGCATTGCTCAGGGAGTGCTGCGGTTGGCTGGCTGCTCCCTGAAATCCCGCTGTTGCTGCTGCTCCTTTGGTGCCCCCTGCTGGGACGTGCGCTGAATAGCTTGAGGCACTGGAGCAGCTAGCTCCAAGAGCCGTGCCATTCTATTGACAACGGAGAATGGTGCCGAGCATGAGGATGAAGGTAAATGTGTTTTACTCTGATTTTATGCTCCCATTTTTCTAGGTAGGGCAGAACCCCTGCTGCAGCCACCTGCCAGGAAAAGGTTCAACTTCTAATATAAACTCATTTAATTCCTGAGGATGGCGCTACACCTTGGAAACATTTGAGCTAGTTTAGAGGCCTTTTTTCACATGTCAAATCATTAATATAAGCCTCCAGGCATCAACGGGGCAGGGGAGGGCACCAGCCCATCATGTATTGAGTGCTTAACTCTCGATGAATCTCACTCTTATTACATCAGTGTTTGCATATGAGGATGCAACCCTCTCCCTTTCTAAATCTCTAGCCCTTCCCCCTTGTCCGTTTTGTACTCGTTGTCAGGGATGGGTTTGTTAGCAAGGGAATTGGGTTCTCTGCTTTTCCCTTTCGCTCGCTCATGTGGAGGAGGGAAGCTACTTCTCCTATTCATCTCCTCGTTCTCCGGCTTGGAGAAAAGCAATAAGTCATCCTCCTCCGCGCTGGAAATGGCCATTATGAGAGATTCACGGGGAAATCTGCCATGCCTTGACATCCCTCGATCCATCATGTAATCTCCTGTATTTAGAGGATCCCAGCTGGTGGGGTATCTCCTGGCAGTCACTGATTATTGCATGATGGGGTTTCTTGTGCCTGTGTTGGAGTGGAGCAGCTCAGTAACAATTTGTGGATACAGTCTATTAATATAGTGGTTTCGTTTAATAGCGAGGTTGTCAGGAAAAACAAGAAGGAAAGGGAACAGTGGCACAAGATAAGCCACTCCTCAGGAAGCTCCTAAGGGCCACTGAGAGCCGATACCCCAATGATGAGCTTTGAAGGTTCAGCCTCTTAGCTCCCGCCAATGTACAGCAGGGACGAAGTCCAGGAAAGTGCAGAGGAACTCTGTCTGGTTTAAAAGGACTCTCTCAAGAGGGGAGGAGTTGTTTGGAGGGACCAGACTTCTACACAGGGGACGGTAAGCCTGTAGGGAAGATAGCCGTGTGTGCTGACTGTTTGTGGTTTGAAAAATCCTCTCTGAATGTTTTGTTGCTCCTGTGAAAACAAGCACTCCCTTGGTTGTAAGAAGGCCGTTTTGTCACTGGATACCGCTGGTCACAGGGGAGAAATGCAGGTGTCCGAACTCAGTCAGATCAGCAGGGTCAGCACGGTTGATACCCAGAGTGCTCTAGCCCGAGGCCCACTCTGAGAGGGGGAGAACTGTGGAGTTCTGCCCAGGAGAGGCAAAGGCCTGAGGCGGGTGGTGCACACGCAGAGAGACTAGGAAGGGGACAGAGGTGCAGCGAGCTCCGTAACTCTGGGAGCGCCTTCCTCTGACAGGCCCCTGGCCTAGCAGGGACACTGGCCTCCTCTGGTACGGCAAGTCCCGTATTTTTGTGATACTGATGGGTGCTGACATAAATGGCACAGCTCTTCCTTGCACGGCACACAGAGCATTGCTTTCATGCTGCGTACGCCAAGTAGCAGAGGTTGAGTGGTACAGGATTCAGCCGTGGAATCTCTTGCTATTACTAATTCTGTATCATAGGCCTTGCCGAACACCACACCTGTGTGCAGCACTGTCCCCTTGACTGATTGCTAATCACTGCTAACGACTGACTAATGACACGGTGTCCTCATTACTGGCTCTTTGCATTGTGGTTGTAGCTGTGTTGGTCTCAAGATCTTAGAGAGGGTGGGTGAGGTAATGTCTTTTATTGGACCAACTTTGGTTGGTGAAAGAGACCAGCTTTCGAACCCCACAGAGCTCTTCTTCAGCAGCTAACAAATTCTCTGTGAGTCCTGCTCTTCTGCAGCAGGGTGATCTGAGTTCTAGCCCTGCTGAGGGGGTGAACTTCTGGTGAGCTGTAGTGTGCTTCGCAGTGACTGCAAAAAGCAGGTCCAATAAAAGGCTAAACAATCCTGTCATGCAACAGATGTTTGCCTCGGCCTCCATCCTAGCTGTTTGCCAGGGGTGTGTGTTATTGATTGGCAATGTTCCGTTCTTTGTCTCGGTGTTATGTTTTATGCGTGTTTGTTTTTATTTTGTAAAGAAAGGGAAGGTGACAGTAGCTACAGGAGTCAGAGTTATAATCAGCGTTATATGATATCAACTTGGGGCCCCCAGTGTGATCATGTCCCTATTGTAACAGGTGCAGTACAAACCCATAGTAAGAGACAGTCCCTGTTCCAAAAAAGCTTCTGATTGAAATACACAAGACAGACAAAGGGTGGGAGGGGAAGCAGACACAGAGAGATTAAATGACTTACCCACAGTCAGATAGCACATCAGTGGCAGAGAATCAGCATTAGAACCCATGTCTCTCCTGAGATTTGTCCTTCTGCCCTAACCACTAACATTGTCGCTAGGTAGTCCAGCGACAAATGCTTTAGCAATGGCTCAGACTGGGAAGTAGAATACCTGCCGTTTCACACGACTGTTGTTCTAGGATTTTTAAGCACAGCGTGTAATTAAAAAATAGGACGGATTTGTATTAGCTATTAGATAAGCAAAACCGTGGCAGATCTGCGCACCTCGTGCTCGGAGATCTGCTGTGCTGGTTTTAATAAAAGAGCAGGGCAAGTGCACCCGATCGAGTTGTTTACTGTAGGTCACATCCCACTGGGTGTTCTCAGCACATGGTGCAACGTGGTAAATGAGGAGCACGGTTGTTGGTATATCCTATTTTTTTTTCCAATTAGAGGAGGAAATGACCACCCCTGGCCATCCTATTAGGATGTAATTAAAACTGTACTGCTGTGGCAGTGGGGAACTCTTCAGGGCTGAAGAGTCTTAAGAAACTCTGTAAAACAGATTTTAAAAGGTCCATTTTGTGCCATTCTCTCTCTTTAATGATCATTTCTCTCTCTGCGTGTGTGTTTTCCCCCCCCAGAGACCTATCTGGCTTTAGCTCGGAGCCCTGTCGTTAGACTCTACTTTCTCCTTTGGAAGAAGCGAGAAATAGTTGAGGTTTTTGATAATCATAATGGCAAAGAGCTGAGATTCATCCATAACGTAAGTCCAGTTATGGCCACGTACTTGAGGCAGTACTGGGATGAGGTCCGTATCCTGTACACCCTATCACACCGCTAAAACCTGACAAACGAGGGCTATCCTGGCTGTAGTAATTAAAGA